ATAGCATATTTTTTAGCATATTAAAGTTTTTATATAGGGATGTGTTCAGCATGTTTTACAAAATGACAATATATTTTTATTGTGTTTATAAATTTTTATTGTATATTTTTATAGTAGGGCTAGGTGTAGAATCATGAAATAGCACTCAAGCAAAGTATAAACCTCTGAACTCTAAAACGAAGAGTTTCTTTTTATATGATAGATAATAATACATTGCATATCTCTACTTGAATTCCCTTATTCCGTATTTTTCTATGATGAATGAACAACAATTATCCTATACAAATTCTCGCCAAATCCACGATACTAGCTATGATTCCGACAATACAACCTCCTCGGACTCGGACTCTACAGTTTCAGAAAGTCATACCTCATTCAGAATTAATGGTCGCTTTTTACTCTATGCTTTGAGCAATATTGGGGAATATATCAAGCATCGTTTTGATGTTGAAAGAATTCATATTTCAGCTCCCTCTGGTAAAGCATATGTTCCAGATCTTCTCTCTGCAAATATAAAAAAGTAGCGGTTCTAGGAGGTACTTTGTATACCTTGTACTTTGTTCCTCAAACCGTGCAAATGGTTGGAAACACGTGGCTACTTGCATAGTACAAGGTATGTAGCTATTACTGAACATGTCACTATGTTTGTATGGGTAGTTTCACATAGTGGTTTGAACTGTATAGTTCAAGAATGTTGCCACAAGAATAGAGACACTGTTAGCCCACTAGTATCCCGAAATCACGTGGAGAATGACTTCATTTTTGTATTTTTGTTATTATTTTTAATTATTGCTAACTGTGGGTAAACTAGCTACTTTAACATTGTTCTGGATGGTTTAGTTGCATTGGGCAATGAAGTCATTCTCCTTCCGTCTAGTGATTGTCAGTATCAACTGGAGCAGAGTGCGAAGTTTTACCCCTTTTTCAAGAATGTTTTTTGTGTAATAGATAGAACCTATATCTGTTAGGAATACAAGGATCCGATACCTAGAAGTCACCTTAGGTAGGGTAACCTTACCCAGAATCGGAATCTCTAGTCTCCAACACCCCCATCTGGCCCGCTTACAGGGCTCACACATTATTATACATATCAATCTCAGTTGCGTCCTGTGACTATAATACCACAGAATTGGAGGTATTAGAATAAAACCGTATACGTCGCTGCCGTTTGTCTGACTAGATCCTGTTTATAGAATATATGGGAGGGGACCCTCAGCGAGGTCTGGGAAGTAGAACGGAGTAAATCTGTCAAGTACTCAGAGAGTTACTATGCTTCAAGTATTT